AAAGAAAGCAAAAGCAAGGGCAGCGGGGAGGGGCAGAGGGAGAGGGAGAAGCAGACTCCCTGCTGAGCAGGGAGCCCAATGCGGAACTCGATCCCAGGACCCTGAGATCATGACCTGAGCCAAAGACAGACATTTAACCGACTGAGCCACCCAGGCACCCCAGGAAGATTATTTTTTTTAAAAGATGAAGAATATGTGTAGCTGCCTTAAAATGAAAAAAAAAATCCATGACTTTAACAGCACACTACAAATGTTATTATAAAGTCATATAAAGTAGTGTTGAATATACAGGAAACATTTTTTTCTTTTAAAAGTATTTATAAATCTGGGGTGCCTGTGTGGGTGGCTCAGTCGGTTAAGTGTCTGCCTTCAGCTCAGGTCATGATCCCAGGGTCCTCGGATCAAGCCCCATGTCAGGTGTCAGGCTCCTTGCTCAGCGGGGAGTCTGCCCCTCCCTCTGTGCCCTCTCCCCTAGCCCCCCACCCCTGCTCATGCATTCTCTCACATGCATGCATGCACACTCATGCTCTCTCTAATAAATAAATAAAATCTTTTTAAAAAAAGTATTTATAAATCTTATTTGTAAAATTATTTCTGATTGAGACCATTTCAAATTCTTACCCAGTGAGTCATTATCTGGTGGATTTCAAAGAAGTTCTGAATGGTGCTTCCCAGTTGTATGTATCAAATTAAAGCAGGTTTTGTTGTCTCTGTGGACAGGTAAGTCTCATCAAGCCTGATGTATACTCAGCCCTGGTGGGTGAGCTCATGAGCAGTATCTGAGCATTTTGAACTGTGTACTTGTAGATAATGTAGATGTCATGTCCTGGTGGTGAGGGCCAGTACCTAATCAGATCCTATCATCTGAATTCCAGATGGCAACGACATTGAAGTCAATCTCTTCTTCAGTGGCTCTGCCTGGATGAAGTATGGTAGATGTGCATCTGATTGAGGTTCGTGACCAGTGCACAGGGAGTCCTAAGTTTTGCTTTCTGGTGGAAAGTTGCTCGGTTTTATTTTTTCACGATAATTACTTTTTCCAACAGTTGAGACTTCCCAAAGTCTCCATGCGTGACCACCTTTGATATGAAGAAATCAGGAAGAATGATTCTTTGAGCTATCTAAATTACTTAGAATTTAAGAAGTAGAATAAGAATTATGGTATGAGGGAGACAGGATTTTTTATGTATAATTTCATACATGAAACATTTTTAAAAAAACATTTCCTCTTAAGGGGGTCACTAATTTCAAGAATAGAGCTTTCTAAACATTGAAAAAAGATTTTTAGGGGCATCTGGGTGGCTCAGTTGGTTAAGAGTCTGTCTTCGGCTCAGGTCATGATCCCAGGGTCTTGGGATCGAGCCCCACATCAGGCTCCTGGCTCAGTGGGGAGTCTGCTTCTCCCTCTCCCACTCCCCCTGCTTGTGCGTGCTCTCTCTCTCTCTCTCACTCTTTCAAAATAATAAGATCTTAAACAAAAAAAGATTTTTAAAAACATTAAAAAAATGTTCCTTTTAATGGGGTTGCTAATCTCAAGAATGGGGCTTCTCTGAAGTTCTTAGGAATGTTCTATGTGTATGTTTTACCCCCTCTGTATGTAGTTTAGTGTAAAGTTTATAGTAAACTTTGCAACTTCAGAGGTGGGACTTCATACACAATTTTAACTCAGGTTCCTTCTTCCACAGGGCAAGAAGCTGAGACTCAGAGGGTTTTGGGGATTGGCTCAGGGGCACAGTGAAAAAGTCAAGATTAAAAACCTGGCACATAATTCCCAATCCAGTGCTGCTTCTGTTACAGCATACTTTTTAGAGCAGTAAGAGTTGTGAGCTATGGAACAAAGAGAAGAAAAAAAGCCTGTGAAACTTAGGTTTAAAAAAAATTTTTATTTTCAAACCATCATACCCATTTGCACTTCCACAAGCTACCGGGTAATTATTCCCCACTTAAAAGATATCCCTAATGTATACTAAAACTTCGAACATGAACAGAAAATGTTGGAATTACTTTATGAAACATGTGACTGACTTCCTTAGATTGTTCTCTGGGTGCACTCTATGGCTTTTTAGGATACACTATTGGATTTATTCAGAACTTTCTAGAGTGCATCTCTATAAAAATCGGACCTGTTCATGCTCTTCCACTGTAGCAGAGTGAAATAACTGTCTTCTAAATATCCTTTTCATTTGCAGCTCAAAAGGTAAAGTCCCTAAAAAAGCATCCTTTGAAAAGTCTGCCAGAGAAAGCTCAGATCTGGGGGGGCAGTGTGGTAGTGAAGGTGAGGTGAGGGCAAGAGACCCTTGCTCAGCTCTCTGCCCAGCAGCTGCTCATTTGTGAACTCTCCCAAGTAAGGACTTTCATGGGCTTTGGCAACGTGCTAAAGAAGGCTGTGTATGAGCTCTCTGACCTGCTGTGTCTGCTTCTTCTCTCCCACTGTGAGTGGAGCAGGGACCTCGGAAACAGGTGAGAGGAAGCATGTGACCCTTTCTCCTTGCCTTAGAGAAGTGCCTTCTCGGCAGGCCAGTGAATGCCGCTTATGGTCACCACTCAGACTTCTGGGATGAGTTGTATGAGGACAAAGGTTATTTTTAGAAAGTCTAATAATGGAATCTATTTCGCTTAAGCCGTTAGCAAATTAAAACCCTCTTCCAAAACAAAACAAAACAAAATCTGGAAGCTAAAAGTTATACAATTGCTTTTTTTTTTTTTTTTAAGATTTTTTGTTTGTAAGTAATCGCTATAGCCAACATGTGGCTCAGACTTACAACCCCAAGTTCAAGAGTCACATGCTCTACGGACTGAGCCAGCCAGGCGCCCCTTCCCAATAGTTTTTTAAACTGAATGGACAGTATTTGGTTTCTAGGCCTAAAATTCTGTGTATAAACTTTTAAGATTTCCATATCTGTATTAACTGTCCCTGCAAGCGTCCAGTGTTTTCGCATCTTTATCCTTGAGATCTGGCGGGGTTGGTATCTCGACACTCATGGGGAGTTTACATTCTCACTGTGTTTTTTTTAGCTTTTTGCTGAATCGTGCTTGCTAACATTCTAAATAATTATTTAGCCTTATCTCTAGCCTAAACTGGCACCACAGAATCTCAATTATTATAATTTAGTGAAGTGAGATTTTTTAATGGTCCACATAAAATTGCAAGTATGTCTGGCAATATATTGTTTTTGTTCATGTTACTTTTGATTTTGGCCAAAATTATTATATCTCCACGGAAAAATTAAGTGCTATTTTTCTGGCATGATTCATACTTTAATTTTTGGTCTAGTGATTTTTTTTTTTTGGCTTACCCATATATTCTGAGAAACTAATTGTCAACACATACTTTAGATTTTTTAGGGCTGATAGTAGTCATTGTATCAGGTTCTCATATGCTTTACATGGCCTTAGGGGCCTGATTTGAAACTTTGAATACATTTTTTCCTTAAATTTGCTAAGAAATCAATATATTCCCAAAGTATCAAAACTAAAAACGATTAACCAGATTGCTATAGCAAATTACATAGGTTTGTTTGCTTACATTCTTGGCTTAGATGTGATGAAAAATGATGGCGTTGAATCTCAGCTGAATTTCATAGATGGTGACCAGTTTATGCCCTAGGGGCTATGTCTTCCCCTCAGGTGGAAAGATGTTATTTATGTTGATTCCATTTTTCCTTTGGTAATCATCCCTGACTTGGTTCTTATAGAGAAATATTGGTAACACTATAGCCTTGGTCAAATTTAGTTATCTTTTTCTTTTGTATTATTACTATTATTATTATTGTTTTCTACTGTGCTCACGTTTGAAAATGACCTAGACCGTGGCTTGAACATAGGATGTACAATGCATATATTTTCTGCCTAAAGGCTTCAGCCATTCTCACTAAAAAATAGGAAGATGGTCCATAAATCTATAATGAGAGAATTTCAAAAGATCATTTTTTTTCCCCAAACGTGAAAAATCTGACTTTATAAACTGGATGTTTAAGTTATGCAGAGCACATAACTGCATTTCTCTAAACACAACGTGTAACGTTATTTTAAAAGGCAATACGAAAACACTCAGGGCATGTTTAAGGCATCAGTCTTTTTAAATATTTTTAAAGAAAACTATCATATGGTAAAACACAGATACTAATATTTTGAGTAGTCGCCTATACCATGTAAAAAATGTTTTTGTTAAATTTGCAATCTTTAAGAAGCTCATCTTTTTGTAGCTCTCTAGAATTTTCTTCTCCTTTCAGGACTCCCTGTTTTTGTGGATTTGCTGTAGCTGTGTCCTTCTGTGTCCTGCTAGTAGTTATGTATTATTCTTTGCCAGTAGCTAGAACATACCAGCAAATAATCCTGTCAAGAAGCAAACCACTCATATGGTTGTATTTACGTAGGCAAAATATTTGTTCCCAGAGGAAAGTATTTTAGCGTGATGCCCTTTTAAACACGAGAGAAGCACTTCAACTGTTACTGAAATGTTTCCTTTTTAACATATAAGAGCAAGTAAACATGATTTCCAGTTTATTTTATACACGGCAGATAGGAGCATTTCAGCTCACAAAAAGTATTTTAGCTGGTCAGAAGGAGTTAAATATCTGGGAAAGATTCTTTTTGAGTAAAATTTTATAAAGCCATTTTAATACATACTGAGAGATATGAAATCAAGTGAAGAGTCTGAATGATCCCAGTGCACTGAATAATTTCACATGGACATGCTAAGCAGATGAATTTATAAGCTATGTTCCGTATTGATTCCCTTGGTTATAAATTCAAAAGTGTCATGTGCTAACACATTTATAATCATTACATATATTAAGAGATGAATTTCAATAAAATGTAATAGCAACTGTTGTCCCTCTGGAACTTTCTCTTCTAGGATCACACTTTTTCATAATAGTCAAAATCTGACAGCTGGTTGGAGGAAAGGAGGAAGGGCAGGTGGAGATGAAGTATATCATCTCATATCATCAAGTTTTGCTTATAGTGGAAGATAGTAATGGACTGAACTTACCAGTTTATAATACAATTTTCATTTTATTTTAAACATATTTTGCATGATATAAAAATATTGATCACAGTGAGCTTTACCAATTGTTATTGCTATAAAATGAATGCAGAAACAATATTTTTAGTGGAAATAAATTATATAGTCATTATTATTTTTTTTTAATCACAAGAGAAAAACCTCAGCTGTCTGGTCATTGGCAGAAAAACCAGTCATTAAAAGAGGTCTTTTGCAGACGAGCTCCAGTCCATTTCTGTAGAGTTATCCACACAGGTCAGCAAACGCTGACTTCTGTCTTGCTCTCCATGGTCCCACAAAGGTCTCTCTGTTCACAGACAGTTCTAATGTGGCAACACAGTTTTCCAAGACAGAAAACTGACAAACTGGAAAATAGTACAGTCTTAGTTCATATGCGGTCTTTTCCAGTATGAAGGGACACAACGACATACTTCTTCACTAAATATAAGTCCTTGGTCACAATGCTTTGGTCGATTTGTACACGGTCTTCTGTAACAACTAGGAAAACAAAGAGGAACACATTTTTGTTAAAGGCCAAAGCAATGAATTCATTATGCTACAAACAGTTGTTTTTCTAAATTTAAAATGAGAACAAAGTTACTCATTTTATCATAAAATTATTCTTAGGTTTATGTCTTATTGAAATTTGTGCTGAGAATTACAAACTGTAGGAGGAATGGTAAAGCCTAAAAGCAGTCTTGCTGATAGAACAGACGGGAGAGTGAGATGATGTGAGCGTTGGTTCTTTTGAAGGGCTCTCTGCTTCGCGGAGGAAAGGAACATACAACAGATACTGTGAAAGTGAGTGTGTAAGGTCTTGCCGATGGGGTGTGAGCATAGCAGTATGGCAGAGTTCACAAGAGTCTGGGACTTGTATGGAAGCCCGACTTGGAAGTGATTAAATGAAGCCATGTTGGCAGGACTGTGGTCCTCAGTGGGGAGACCCACCCTCATCCCGTCTCTCTGCTGGGCAGACAGCCGGCTGAGCCATGGTGGCCCTCTCCCCCTCTCCACCTGGGCTCCAAGTGACAAGAAGGTGGGCTGGCGGGGGGAAGGGGCAAGGGACAATGCTTGCTGTGGGCACCCCTCTCTTCCTGTCCTAGACTTGCAGTTTCCAGCCGTGGTGAAAGGACAAATGATCAAACAGCCCCGTTGCTCCAGCAAATGGGAGCTACTTTTGAAGAAGCTGTGGGAGTGTGAGAAAGTCCAGTGCGAGAAAGGGGTGTACGTCCAGGGAATAATGCAAGATGACCCGGCAGGGAAATCAAAAGAACACTACAGAGAAACTGCGAATGTGAGTCTGAAGTTTCATTTCTTGTGCTCTAGCAGAAAAAAAAAAAAAGAGTATCTAGTTAAAATGTTACTATTTTTTTTTTTATTTCTAAGTACAGATGCATTATTATAAGACTTCTGGTATTCCTTTACTAAAAAGATGCAATTATACACAAACAATGAATCATGGAACACTACATCAAAAACTAATGATGTAATGTATGGTGATTAACATAACATAATAAAAAAATAAAATAAAAATAAAAAGATGCAATTCCCAATAATCAATGAAAGTTGCTGATTTAAGGCAGTGGACAAAAAATATATACTCTGCCCCCCCTCTTGGAATAAATATTAAGAGAAAATGAGTGTACACATTTTCAAAATATTCTTTTTTTGCTTCAATATATATGTAAACCTAGAAGTATATCCTTAGAAAAATGAACACAGGAAGAGTTTCAATAAATAGAAGATAGAACTCTTTTCTCGTAAGTTAATATAAGAATTCTGTAGAAAAAATATGATGGCTGGTTAGTCTTATGTAAACATAAAATCAGGCTTTCCAAATACACTAGGTTCATTCAGAAGGGTTCAATATACAAAATGGTTTAATAATCTTCAATAAGATTTAGTATCTACATAGTATTCTGCATTCTTGAAATATCCTTCTGGTAGAGTAGGGATATGCAAATAAAATTGGAATACAGTGATTGCTCAAAATATCCTAAAAAGGAAACAAAAGGATCCCTGTAAGGTACTCTAAAGCAATAATGGAAGAAAAAATGTCATCCATAAGGTACCTAGATTCACTGAAGTTCCCTCATGCAGCAGCTAAAATGTTAGTGTGGATGGGTCATCAGAAATAGGAATTAAAATGGGAGCACAAAACTTGTGAGGATTAAAAGATGGACATTTTATTTGCTGGGGAACGTTAATGAACATTAATGCAGATAGGAAATTGTAAATAAATGAAATTTAAGTCTTAAGTCATGTGAGTGATCATCTTTTGCATGGGCATGATCACCATCTCTAAAGACCGAGTTTGGAAGAAGAGGACCCAAGTGGAGGTGATGAAGCGCAGATGGTCTGAAAACCAAAAGAGCAGCCAGGGAAGGAAAATGTTACGTTGTTACGTCAGCCAAAGCAAAGAAGGGAGCTTCAAGAAAAGGTACAGAAAAGACACGCCACACGAAGACCAACTTGTCCACTGGCTTTGGCTGTGGAGTCTGCTGAGACCTTGAATAGCACTTTAACATGGCACTCTCAGGCTTAACCTGGGTTACAGTTGGTTGAATAAATGAGAGATGAAAGAGGTCAATGCAAGTGCTAAATGCCTGGGTCTTGGAGCAACCTTGAAGAGGACAGAGCTTTATTGCTAAAGTGTGCTCAGCATCATGGTAAGATGCTAATAAAACAGAAGATTGGGAACTCTCATTAATTGAGGGGAAAGAAAAGTAGTCGAAGACGTCAAACGTATGGGAGAGAGAAGGCCTATGTCTGGTGGAGCCGTGTTGAAGGAAATGCCAAAAGCACAGAGCTGGCTAAAAGAGACCACCTAACCATCAGATTTATTAAGAGGAAGTAGTTCCGGGATTAACACTGGGAGTGTTTGAGTCCAATAGTCTCATTTTGTTCTTCTTGGTGAAGAAGGGGGCAGATCAACGTTTAAGGAATGAGTCTGGAGTAATCTTTAACAATAAAATTTATCTCTCTAATTCCGGGAAATACTTAAATATTTTTCTAGATACAATTCTACATTTAGTGGCACTATGCTATCCTTCGGAAATTTTGCATAAAATTTTCTGCACTTGGAAGAGTTGTCCTACATTATGATGGCATCATAATTTTTGTTGGGGGAAGGTCTGCCATGTTTGGATGTTCTGGAAATCCTCCTCACACGACTGTCCTGTGCATCTGTCTCCCAGCGCATGTTGAAGGACCACTGCCTCAGACTCAGCCTCGGGGATGAGCAGTAGGAGTGCATTCTGAGGTTGGATCTGGTTTTGGTTCCCAGGGCTCCTATCTTGCTTTTTTCAGGAGTAAACACAGTCTCAAGGAAAACTTAGCATCGGTTAGAAAAATAACAGAATTCGTCTTCCAGAACTGACTGGTCTCATTCCAAAAAGCCACTGCCATTTTGGTTGAGGAAACAATCCCCAGTTAAGAGAAAGGAATACACTTCATGAAGATTTCTTACCTGCATGTTTGATGTTGAAATTTCTTTCCTTTTAAGAGGCATTTCTGTGAATTTTCTGTACATTCACAGGCACATTTTCCAGGGTTTAGGGGTTGATTTCTTGGGCAGGTTCTTTTGCATATGCACTGGCATGTGGTTTCATCAAATTCTCTGTTGGCCCCACATGAGTTGGGTAAAAGTTTGTTTTTACAGACACACTGGCATGAGTTTCTGTCTAGTTCTTTGTGAGGCCCACAGCTGGAAGGCCGGAGCCCCCCTTTGCAGACACACTGACACGTTTCTTCATCAAGCTCCTTGTTGGGTCCACAGATGTCATGGAATCCATCTGCAGAGTCTAGACAAACACAGTCAGACATTGTTACTATACCTTCCTTAGTTCTGGGTGTGGTGTGAAACCATTAAAAGCATTTAAAAGTGTCTCTTTATGTTTTTCATTAAAGGGTCATACACAAACATGGGTATGTTCCTTTACCAGGAAGTTCAAAACAATATCAATGTCAAGTAGAAAATGTCCTGTTTGGTAGTCACTTATTCCAGAGAATGATGATCTGAATATTGTACATGTGATCTTAATATTAAAATATTTGTTAATCAAAACAGAGATCCTTGGCATTTCATCTTTAAAATATCATTCTGCTTACCATCTCCAGAATTTGAGGAAAAAATAAAATCTTGCTGAGCCAGGCATCTGCAGAGGTGATTATTCCAGATGTAATTTGTGGGGCAAGTCTTGTTTGCAGCTTGGCACCTTTGGGAGAGACAGACGAGTTAATAGTCTAAGTGGTACCCAGAAGGGATCATCGCTTTTCTTAGCTGCGTATTACAAAACCAATGCATGTTTGTGAAAAAGCTGTAAAATGATATAAGAATATGTGAAATGAAATGTGAAAGTTCCCTCTCAAAGTATCTCCCTCACCCACATATGCGGCCAAATTCTAATCCCAGAGGTGACCACTTAGTGATATGGTCTTCTATCACTCCAGACTTTGATCTTGTTAAGGCAAATACATTTATTTGTGTAATCACATGGTGGTTTAGTTTGTGTAAAAAAGGGGATAAGCCTCTTATATTACTCGGAAATTTCCTTCTTCCACTAAACAATACATTGTGGATATCTTCATAGGTCATTTCAAAATGTTCTGCTTGTTATTGGCTACATAGCAGTCCATAAAATGCATGAGTACATTATTCTCCTATTGGTCGCTACCGAAATTGTTTCCAATTTGTGGCCTTTTCAAACAATTCTACAGGAAACATTTTTATACATTTACCTTTCCTGACTTATTTCTGAACCAGAGATACCTATAACTATAAAGGGTCTATTAATCCAAAATTTCCACTCTACACTCCACCAGAAGGTCATTGAAGACCTTGCTTCTTGTTGTTATTGCTGTTGTTCTAGTTTTCCCTCCCTCCCTCCTCTTATATTCTCCTTATCTGTTTTAGTAAAAATTATGAACATATGGGCTTCAGTCAAGTACACCAAGTGCCCCCTTGCTCCAGCGGTCTGACGGCTGGCTAACTGGGACTCCTTCATATTGGCACCTACATGAAATGAGCCCTTTAGTGTGAAGCTTCTCTGTCCTCTGGGATGAACAGATGTCACAAGCTCATCTTGTCCATTGTCTCCTCCACACCTAGAATCAGCTATTCTTTCAAGGAGCCCTAATTCTGTCTGTTGGGAAATGGCATTTGGGATTAGGTTTGTTCAGTGCCATCAGCTTACATTACTACTCGACCTTTCCAGGGCACAAAGCTAGAAAACTCACGTATATCCCACAGAATGTCTCCTTTAGTTAACATTTACCCATTAGAAGGATTCTGGGCTCTAAATATCTTTACAGAATATATATAAAGCTCTCACTACCTTATTTTTCAACTGAGATTGGTACAGGGGAAATAACTGTATCTTTCACACTCAATATCGTGAACAATATGTGAGGGAAGAGCCTTGAGTTACATTCCAGACTGGTAGAACATAACGATCATGTATAGACATCTTAACAGGTGCACCGACTGTAAACAAACAGGTCACGTGCTTTGGATGCTGCTGAGAAAAGTTTCAGAGTCCTACTGTATGATAATGCAATGATAGGCCTTTCTTTAAAAGAAATGATGTCTCGTATAGCACCCCAGGAAGGACTTTTTGGAGTGTAAGCACATCTACTGTTGGTAACCATTTTTCCCTTGACAACCGCCTCTAAGGATTTATGGAATCTCTCCTGCTCAGCAGTCTCCACAGCAAGCAGCTCCAAGACCCAGAGAATCTCTACGTGTCCCATTCAGTGGGAGAGTTTGCCTAAAACACCCTCCCACACCTCTCCATACCACCGTGAAGGGCAATGACTGTCTTACCCTTGTAACATTCTTCAAGGGTCATGTCTCCAGCCTGATGAAGACCATCTATTATGGAAAGTTTTCTTGAATTTATTTTTCATTTTTAAAAAGTTTTTGAATGCTGTGTGTTATTTGCTGTCCCACATCATAAGCTAATAATTTCTCACTTAGCATGCAAATAATAACAAGTAGCCATGTGTTAATAACCATAATAACTGTTGGATGATCAAGGAAACAGTGTTTGAGCATTTTAGATGCTACAGGTATTATCTTTAAGCTCTTTGTAGGAAATTAGTTATGTTTGGGGTTTAATTTTTCCCATTTAAGACAGTAAAAATTTGTTTGCAATGTATATTTTTTTGAAATAGGTTATTGATTCTTAAGTAAGAGATACCTGTACCTAGTTCTAGGGGAAAAACCAGTCATAGTGCTATTTCCAAATATAATTTAACATTACTGGTTTTAAATTTACTTCTTGACTTCATACTAATAACTTCCATTAAAATTTTTGCTCCCAACAATCTTTATATTTGCTTAAGTACATATTATATATGTGTATGTATAATAATAAAATATTTGCCTTACTCTGCATATACCATATGCCTTTCTCTTTATAATTTTATTTTTTGGAAAACTTATGTGATGTCAGCTAAAATTACAAGAAAATATATATTCAGAGGAGTTAATTCTGATCCATGTCCTCAGCATGCTGATCCTTTTTGCAGTTTTTGGTTTATGTTTTCAGTGTTTCTTTTTGTAAATAAAGAAAATATGTATGTATGTATATATTTTTCCCATTCTGTTATCCAGAAGATAGCCTCCCTTACATGCTCTTCTAGACCTTGCTTTTCCACTTAGCTCTATGTGTTGGGGAACATTATACCTTCCTAATAATTTTATGTATTCCCAAGAGCAAGTCTTTACTTACCACGTATTTTGGTCATTACTGTTTTATTGGTTAATCATAAATGTACATTGTTTCACAAAAAATTCAGATAGTATTTATCAATTCTCCAAAACAATATCATTGTTTTTTTTTATTTTTCTACTATCCAAATCTGTAGTCCCTTCCATCAAATAAGATGTTGTTATGTTTAGTTATATAATAGTAATGCAATAAATCCTAGCTGAATGAAACTCAGACCACTCCTCCATAAATGAAGGTAAATACGTTTTGCCCGTGTTCCCTCAAGGTTGACATACACATGATTTAAGTGACACACTCCCACGTTGGTATCAGGAGGGTACAGGGCTATGGTGGCTGCAGTAGAAGGGCATGATCATTTTGCCAATATGTGATTTATACCTCTATTACCTAAGCCAGTGTTCTTCCAGTTGTTAGTTGTAATCCATCAGTGGATCATGAAATCCATTATAAGGGTTGGGAAATGCATTTGTAAAGTCAAAGAATGACATGTAATAAAATAAAATATTACCAGAATGCATGTGATAAAGATCGCTTTCTGCAACTATATTTCAGTCTCTATATGCATATATTTTTGTTATATATGCACATATAAATATGCTTGTACATGCTCTCACACATACAACCTCCCCCTCTCCCACATGTGGCGTATGTGTATGTGTGTATATGGTTGCAATGTCCAGTGTATTCATTTTTTAGTTACAGTCGTTAAAGTTGATAAACATATCTAAGCTATTTATTTTTATGGAAAAAAGTGTCAAGAATGATCTCAATCATTAGCCTAAGTGAGACTGGTCCATACTGAGGTCTTCAAATGCAGGAGAATGTGCTAATGTCTCTGTGCTGAAGTGAAAGTTGGTTTACAAAACTGTTCACCCTAAAGGGGTAGGAAAATAAAGCATTTCCTATTTCTCATGTAGTGAGGGAAAAGAAAGAGTTTTGCAATATTTCACATCCTTAAAAATATAAATTCAAAAAATATGGACTGTGTGTAGAAACAGATGAAGGAATGCATTTCTGAAAATGTCCTACAAAACAACAAGGTATCTAGTGCCTAGTTTTACAGCATTCAATAATTCCCTAGAATCTGGCTACACCAGCCTTTTTGGTTTTGCACATTCACGTTGAATAAAAATATGGCCTTCTGAATAACAATTTCAACTGTTATACCTGAAGTGTTTTTGCCAACATAAACTTTATATTACAGACTAATTATGCTTTGCTCAAGGTGAACTAAATATTTTAATTTCTAATATTCTTAAAAAGCTTTGCCAAAATTAAGAAATTACTACTTATCAATGTTAACATATTTTAATGTTGAAATTTGAAATCTTGCTAGATACCATTTAATTAAAAATACATATATTTGCCTAGGATGCATTTTCATAATTGCTAAATGAGATTCCCTACCCCAAAAGTGAATGTCAAGTTCTTAGCATTTAAAGCTTCTCATGTGAAAAAAAGACCCATTTCCAAAATCATATCTTAGAATGAAAGAAAATGTTTTTAATGTGGATAGAAGTTAGCATAATTTACTTATCTCCTACATATCTTCATCTCCAAAGCATTTTTATCCTATTGAAATTTTTCAAGTTCTGAATATTAATATGTGTAAACCTATTAAAACTTTTAAAAAGAAAGTATTCTTGTATACTCTATTTATGAAACATTGATCCAAAGATGCATTTTGTCTGCAAAGCCCATGATTATGCAATTATTTGTAAAGTAGGTGTTGAGAAACACATGTAAATAAAGTTTCCTACTTTCCTTTCCCACCCCTCACCCCAAACACAACCACAATCCTGTTTATAATACTCATGAAGGAAAAAGATGCTTTTCTAAGAATTATCTCAGTACCTCACTCAACTGGTTAGGTTACTGTTGCTAGTTAAAACCAGAGGACAAAAATTTAAGGGTATATGGCTCAAGAATGATGAATTTAATGATTAAAATTATTCTGATCTCGCCTTTATCTCTCTTTTGAAATTTTGAAAGACCAGCATGTTCTGTGTGATAAAATCCTACATATTGGGTAATAGTTGCTAGTTCTTGTGCTCTGGACACAACAGTAGGCTGTTTTGTGCATCCCACTGTTTGGGTTCTTTCATCATCTCTACATTTTGGCAATAGAGTTTCTATATGCTTGGAAATTCCCTGACTCCCCAAATCCATATTTAAGGAATGCAGACACACTCCCACCTTATGTTTGGCATTAGTGAGAACTGAGCTGAATGTAATATATTTTGTAATATATTTCTCAGTGAAAAAAAAACCTGCATCTGGATTTATTTAAACTACTTTTGATCCACTTTACTAAATATCTCTTAAAATATTTCATAGACCGTTCAAAATGAATGTCAACATTAACTGAATACAAATTCAGCTCATAGCACTCAATGACTTTTTTAAAAAGCAAATTCTTTCTGTGGACATGAACTGTGCTATTAATCAAATACTCTCATTGGCATCTCTTTTCATAAGGTGTC